AGTACCACCGGCTCCAGCAGCTCCATTACCTCCAGTATGAGCACCTCCAGGACCAGCAGCTCCAGCAACTCCAGGACCAGCAGCTCCAATGTCGCCAGCTATAGGGCCTCCAGCGGCAGGCCCCCCAGCTCCAGCACCGCCACTCTGAAAGCTCCAGCGCCGAGCAAACCACTCGCGCAGCTGCGATGGAGAAAGAGGATCCCGCCGTGACGAGGCACCCGTAGGACGACCAGCAGACAAGGTACGTACAGGCTCAGCACGCTCAGGCTCAGCACCCCCAGGCTCAGCTCCCCCTGGCTCCGCACGCTCAGGCTCAGCACCCCCTGGCTCCGCACCCTCAGACTCAGCAACCCCAGGCTCAGCACCCCCAGGCTCAGCACCCCCAGGCTCCACACGCTCAGGCTCAGCACCCCCGGGCTCCTCACCCCCAGGCTCCACACGCCCAGGCTCAGCACCCCTCGCAGCACCACCCCCACCAGCACCAGAGTCAACAGCTACCTTGACAGGCTCGAAAGGGTCTACCTGGGACACACCTGAGGGGGCAGGACCCTGAGGGGGGAGGGGGTCTACCAGAGGAGGACCTGGTGTGAGGAAGAGCGGCGGGGGGGGGGGGGGGGGGGGGAGAGGGGCAGTGCGGTAGGGGAAGAGACGGTAAAAGGGAACCGACTTGTCAAACGTGACGTCCTGAGAGGGCAGGACACGGCGCGAGGTGGGGTGGTAAAACTGCCAGCCATGCGCGTCAAGGGGAAAATCAAGGAAGACACAGGGAATGGTGCGGGAGGAGAGCTTGTCCGCGGAAGTATCGCGGACAAAGGCACGAGATCCCCAGACCCGGAACACCGACGCATCGCCAACCTCTCCCATCCAACGCAGTGTTGGCGAGGTCTCCGGCAAGGAGACTCGGGGCCAGAGGTTGAGCTGATGTGCAGCGTATCGGACCGCAAATGGCCACAGAAAATGGGGGGCAGCCGCATGGATCATGGAGGTATGAGCGACCTCCATGACTAAGCCAATGCGGCGCTCAGCAACCCCATTCTTCTGCGGAGAGGCCGGAAGCGTGAAAGACTGGGTGATGCCCTCCCCACGACAAAAGTCCCGCAAGAGGTCGAAGGCAAACTCACCACCTCTGTCAGAGTGCAGACGCAGGACCGGAAGGTCCGTGTCGAACCGCTCGCGGAGCTGGAGACGGATAGCGCGGATCCAAGGGATCAAAACATCAGGGACCTCCCCCTTGCTGCGCAAGGGGAAGACCGCGGTGTAACGCGAGTAGTCGTCAACAACCAGCAGAAAGTAACGCTCGCGGCTCTGTCCACGGATGCGGGCTGGGCCCCACACGTCCATGTGGAGAGTCTGCAGGGGAGCAGTTGTCGGGGGAAACGAGGAGGAGTGAGGAGCGGCGCCCTGCCGCCCCTCGACACAGGGAAGGCAGGGAGGGGCAGGCGAGGGTGGGAGGGGAGGCAGAGACCTGGGAAGACCAGAGACAAGGAGACGTGAGTGCATGCCACGGAGGCGTGCCACAGAGGGGTGACCAAGGCGGTGGTGCCAAAGGAGAGTCTGGTGCGACAGGGCGCGACACGAGCAAGGGGCCACAAGCTGACCTGACGCAGACGCAGACGCAGCTACATGAGGAGGCTCAGTAGTCAGTGTGTACAGGCTCGACCCAGGCCGACGGGTGAACGTGGCCAGGTGACGGCCCGTCCGTGCACACGTGCAAATCGCCACATGCTGTCCTCCAGGGATAAAGGTATCAACCCAAGCATCCTGAAGGACAGCGTCACTCACCAAGTTCGTAGAGAACGAGGGGAGGTGAAGATATGACAGTGAGCCAGACGGAACCACCGGACACAGGAGAACATTGGAGGAACGTGCACGAACCGGTCTTTCAAAGGGGTCAGCTAGAGAGACTGCAACCGGTGTTGCAAGTGGTGTGACTGTGGTGCTGTCGCGAAAGAAACAGCGGGAAGCACCTGATTCAAGCGTAAAGGTGTGCAAGGCCTCAACAGGCGCAGTACCAGAGAGAGCAGACTCACCAACACCTAGAGCAGCCTCACCAGCACCTAGAGCAGCCTCACCAGCACCTAGAGCAGACGCACCAGGACCTAGAGCAGCAGCCTCTATACCAGGGTCTGGCGGCATACACAGGTAACAGTCACCCTGAGTACTAATAGTCAAAGCATACATGGCAGTGAGGATAGCATCATAGTCTAGTGCAAAGATATCCACACCCTGCCTAAGCAGCTCTCTCCAGCGGGGGAGCTTAGCCACGTCGCCAAACTCTGCACGCCAGGTGTCGCTCAAACAGGAGAAGCAGCGGGACTGTGTGTGACCAGGTTTCCCGCAAGTCTGACCAGCCCGATCACCTGTGCGAATGACGTACGAGCAGGGAGCACGACTCCGAGACACCCCACGCTGAGCAAACCACTCACGAAGCTGCTGGGGCGTAAGGGTCTCGCTGCAGCTGCATCTGGCCACTGCCAGAAACTCCCCTCTTAACAGCTACACTGCGACTGCTACTGCTGCCGCCGCGACAACCCCAACTAGCGTACCACTCACAAAGCTGCTGGGGTGTGAGGGTCTCGCGCGGACGCCGCTGGAGCTGCAGCTGGCCACCGCCAGAAACTCCCCACCGAACAACTCCGCCGAGACTGCCACTACGGCCGCCGCCACTACTCCCACTGCTGCCACCACCGCTGCCACCACTCCCACCGCTACTACGAAGTGAAGTCATAGCGGGCAAGCAAGGAGGCGCGCGGCCATTAGGGCAGTACGGAGGGAAGGCAGTAGCACTACCAGTAGCAGCAGCAGTAAGAGCAGCAGAGCGGCTCGGTGAGGCTAGGCTGCAGCACCTCCAGCACTCCTAGCAGCACCTCCACCAGCAGCAGCAGTAGCACGAGCAGCAGGGCGGATCGGGTTGGGCAGGGCCGCTCGGGCTGGGCGGCGCGGCTCGGCCTGGGCGTCGCGGGCAGCAGGGCGCGCGCTGTGCAGGGCAGCAGGGCGCGACGCACGGACTGCCGCAGGGTGCGACGCGTGGGGCAGCAGGGTGCGACGCGCGGGCTGCAGCAGGATGTGACGCGCGGGGCAGCAGAGCGCGACGTGCGGGCTGCTGTAGGGCGCGACGTGCAGGTTGCAGCAGGGCGCGACGCGCGGAGCAGTAGAGCGCGACGCGCGGGCTGCAGCAGGACGTGACGCGCAGGGCAGCAGGGCGCGGATCCTGCAGACGCAACCCTGCAGACAGGGCGCGCTGGGGCAGGAGCTGCTCGCGGGCAGAGGCTGCAGGGGCGGCGCGCGGGCTGCAGGGGCGGCGCAACGCGGGGTAGGGCAGGGAGTTTTCGGGGCAGCGCGACGCGGGGCAGGGCAGGGCGTGCGCGGGGCGGCGCAACGCGGGGCAGGGCAGGTCGTGCGCGAGGCAGCGCGACGCAGAGCAGGGCAGGGCGTGCGCAGGGCGGCGCGACGCGGGGCAGGGCAGGGCGCGGGGTAGCGTGGTAACCACAGTCGGTTACTAGCTAATGGTGGGCCCGAAAAAAAATACGATGCTATGGACCTACTGCTCTGATACCATGTCACAATGTGAAAGCGAGAATGGTGAAACTAATAGCATGCAGGAGTACAAGTACCAAACCCTAATCGGGTTGTACCCTGTATGGGCTACCCCACTACAGCCTACACAACATGCAACATATAAGTTTGACAGTATCGTAGCGCCCTCGTTCGTCCCACGAGATTGATGTCCCAAGTTGGTATTGCTTCCGTAGGACCCCGGTCTCGGTCGGCGGAAAAAGTCGAGCTTCTCCGCCATGGCGAGAATCTCCTGAAAATCAGTGACGCCGCGGAGCTGGATTTCCTGAGCGATGTCATGTTTCAGGCCGCCGATGTGGCGGTCAATACGCTCAGATTCGTGCATGTAGCCCACCTGCTCGCACAACGCCAGAAACCCGCTAGTGTAGTCTTAGACGGAACCAAGTTGGCGCCAAGTGCGGAGCTTCTAACGCGCCGCAATCGAAACCGCAATTGGCTCAAATCGAGCGCGCAGATATGCGCACCACGCGTCCCACGTGCGATATTGGGGCACCTCCACAAAATACGACGGCGCCCAGGGTCCGGTTTGTCCTTCCTGTCGCGATATACATTTATATATGTTTATAACTGCCTGTAGCTTTAGCTTTAGTGTAGTTATGTTTCTTTGTTGTGGTGGTGCACCTCTTTGTTTCTTTGCTATATGTTCTTGCAAACCTATAGTGAAGACACACATTCTCGATTCTCTCTTTGGCACAAACTACTCGACACTCGCTTGGCCTAGGCTACTAAGCCTTGGCCCTTAGTTAAACCCGTTCCTAGCTAAGATCGTATCGTAACATGGTATTGAGCTAGGTCGTTTCTGACCTATTTTTTAAAGGGCCCACCGTTAGTTGTCGTGATGTCACGTCCCGTCCTTCCCCGTCGCTCGCCCATAGCAAAATCCCTCTCGGTAGTCGTGACAGACGCGACGGTCGCGGCGGGAGTGACGGCATTCGTCGACCCGCTGTTTCGCGCCGCTGCTCTTGCCCCCCGTCGGCCCCTCGAACCGCCGCTGCCTTCCCCGTCGCCCTTCCCCGTCACGCTGCCTCGTCGCGGCTCACTGTTGCGGAAACATCGACGGTCGCAATGGGGGGGGGAGAGGAGAGGGGGAAAAGGGTGGCAACCGTCACTTGAGCACCAGCGCCAGCCCGCGTTCCGTCTTGTCCCGTTCCGTCCCCGCCTGCCCTCCCGTCGACCTCGCAGCTGCTGTGAAGTGAGTGGCGGGAATGGCGGGCGTGGCGGGAGTGGCGGGAATGGCGGGCGTGGCGGGAGTGGCGGGAATGGCGGGCGTGGCGGGAGTGGCGGGAATGGCGGGCGTGGCGGGAGTGGCGGGAGAAGCTGCTGCTCCGCCACTGCATGCTACAGATCGTCCACGACCCGCAAGCCCGCCAGTAAACGAACCAGCAGACCCGCAGACGCACTAGCAAGTGAACCAGTTGACCCGACTACCCCGCCCATTCCAGTCCCCCGTCCCGCCCAGCGCGCATCACCTGCCATTGGACCCGCCAGCCACCAGCACCAGCACCAGCACCGACGCCAGTCACCAGCGCCAGCACCGGAACCAGCGCCGTCACGCCAGCACCAGGCCCCGGCACCAGGCACCAGGCACCAGCATGAGGGCCAGCCGCTAGCACCAGCACCAGCTCCAGGGCCAGCCGCCAGCACCAGCACCAGCTCTAGGGCCAGCCGCCAGCACCAGCACCAGCTCCAGGGCCAGCCTCCAGCACCAGCACCAGCTCCAGGGCCAGCCGCCAGCACCAGCACCAGCTCCAGGGCCAGCTGCCAGCTCCAGGGCCTGCCGCCAGCACCAGGAACCAGCCCCAGCGCTAGCCGCCAGCACCAGGAACCAGCCCCAGCGCCAGCCGCCAGCACCAGGAACCAGCACCAGCGCCAGCCGCCAGCACCAGGAACCAGCCCCAGCGCCAGCCGCCAGCACCAGGAACCAGCCCCAGCGCCAGCCGCCAGCACCAAGAACCAGCCCCAGCGCCAGCCGCCAGCACCAGGAACCAGCCCCAGCGCTAGCCGCCAGCACCAGGAACCAGCACCAGCGCCAGCCGCCAGCACCACCAGCCCCAGCGCCAGCCGCCAGCACCAGGAACCAGCCCCAGCGCCAGCCGCCAGCACCAGGAACCAGCCCCAGCGCCAGCCGCCAGCACCAGGAACCAGCCCCAGCGCCAGCCGCCAGCACCAGGAACCAGCCCCAGCGCCAGCCGCCAGCACCAGGAACCAGCCCCAGCGCCAGCCGCCAGCACCAGGAACCAGCCCCAGTGCCAGCCGCCAGCACCAGGAACCAGCACCAGCGCCAGCCGCCAGCACCAGCACCAGCGCCAGCCGCCAGCACCAGCACCAGCAACCCCACCTGTGACCAGCAGTCCCACCTGTGACCAGCAGCCCCACCTGTGACCAGCAGCCCCACCTGTGACCAGCAGCCCCACCTGTAACCAGCAGCCCCACTTGTGACCAGCAGCCCCACCTGTGCCCAGCAGCCCACCTGTGAAAGACTGTACAGGGACCATCGTGGTTGGGAGAGGTATGGAGGAAGACAGGGGTGGAGGGAGTGCGGTTCCAGGGGGCGGCTGAAATGGGGGGTGAGGTTGAGGGCGGGTGGTTGGTTGGGGGTGGGGATGTGGGGGTTAGTAAGAGGGGACGCTGCGGCCACCCCCCCACCTCCTCTCCTCATCCCCCACTCAACCCCCCTTTCGTAAAAGGGGGTTAGTAAGAGGGGACGCTGCGGCCACCCCCCCACCTCCTCTCCTCATCCCCCACTCACCTCCTCCTGTGTTCTTATCTATTCTCCTCTCCTCTCTTCCTCTTGCCTCCTCCTCCTCACGTACCCCTCTGCCGTCTCCCACCGCACCTGCTATACCCCTTCGGGGGGTGTGACTTGCTCTAGCTATGTGCTACAGGCAGTTAAAGCTGCAGTATACATTTGAAATGTTGGGTTCAAAAACTTTTGAAATTTGAAAAGTTGCCCAAAAGCTGTGAGGCACACAATAAAAACCCTAAACCCGGCTGACAAATGTATACTGCAGCTATAAGGGGGTGTGTCGCGATATACATTTATATATGTTTATAACTGCCTGTAGCTTTAGCTTTAGTGTAGTTATGTTTCTTTGTTGTGGTGGTGCACCTCTTTGTTTCTTTGCTATATGTTCTTGCAAACCTATAGTGAAGACACACATTCTCGATTCTCTCTTTGGCACAAACTACTCGACACTCGCTTGGCCTAGGCTACTAAGCCTAGGCCCTTAGTTAAACCCGTTCCTAGCTAAGATCGTATCGTAACACTTCCCGTGTCGGTAGATTCGCGTAGTCCATCGGCTTCGTGACGATGACGCGCCACCAGTTCATGGCGGGTCCTCGCAGCAGCGACACAGTGAAGCGAATCTTCGCCATATCCTCCGAGACGTAGTTGGCGTCGAAGAAAACGTTCAACGTGAACAACCACGCCTGAACGGTAGGACCACCCCGTTGACTCGGGTCAAAGCATGGCGGACGCTGCGGCTTCAGCGGCATCGGCGACGGCAGTGTTGATTCGTCGGCCGGCACAGAAATTGTGACGCGAGGTTGACTCCTGGCCGCGTTCGTTGCTTCGGGGTGTGTCGTGCCGTGGTCGTCGTCTCCGTCGTGGCGGACGACGCCAACAGTGGCCGCGCTCGCGGGTTGCCCCACACTTCCGTGCTGTGATGCTTGTGGTGCAGGCTGTACCGGAGTGCCAGGTGCTTGTGATTGCGCTTGTTGTGCTCGTGCGACATCGTTCTGCAGGGATGTGCATTCCGCCGTTAGTGCCGCGATTTCTTCCGAATTCTCGTGCAGCTGGCGCAGCAGTTCATTCAGGCGGTCCTGCGTGAGTGTCGTGACGTCAGTTTGTTCAGCCATTGACGAAGGGCGTCGGCTCGGCTTAGTCTAGGCGCAGTCGTGGCTGCACGCGTTTACGAGAGAACGCGAGTGTGAAAGAACAAGGAATGAATGCACTAGGAAACAGGTGGGTACAAGTAGGAAAACCTAAAAGTGTTGTACCCCATATTGTCTACCCCACTACAGCCTACACAGACTATAGCATATAAGTCTGACACACCCCCATAGGCAAAGTGGGGGAGAACAAGGGGTCACAAGACCAGTCAAGCAAAGCAAAGCAAGCTCAGGGTGGATCACAACGTCACCACACATTCTGAGCACAGGTTCAAGGCCACAAGGCCAGTTCACATGCAGGATCACATATATATAAAGGTAAACAAGCAAGTCCAGGTATATATAGATCACAGTACAAGCAAGGTCAAGAGGTAAGCAAGTGAGGCCAAGTAGGCACAAGACCTAGCATCGTACAGAAGCGCTGATGATCACAAGGCTGAAGTGCCTTGGTAAAGATATCAGCAGTGTTGGCCTGAGAGGCCACGTAAGCAAGACGCAGCTGACCACGCTGCTGTAGCTCACGAGCAAGGAAGTAGCGAAGAGCAATGTGCTTCGTTCTGTGCTCCAGTCTGTGCTCCCGACACAAGGCCAGCATGGCCTTGTTGTCTACGTACAGAACTGGAGGAGAACGAGGCAGCTCTCCTAGGTCAGTCAGCAGGTAGGTGAGCCAGCGTAGCTCCTGTGCAGCCATGGCCCCCGCGTAGATCTCAGCCTCACAGCTGGAGCCGAGAACAGAAGACGAGCGGGTAGACCGCCATGAAACAGAGCCAGAACCAAGGCTGAAGGTGTAACCCTGTGACGACCGCTGCGTAGCCTGGTTGTCAGCCCAAGAAGCGTCTGCGTGACCTGTGAGAACCACTGAACGCCGCCCTCCAAGCACTAGCCCCATGCCCGACGTACTGCACAAGTAGCGCAACACCCTCTTCGCTGCAGCCATATGCTCTGGTCGGTGTCTCCCACGAGCAACATAGCGTGCCAGGATGCTAAGAGGGTATGCAAGGTCAGGTCGTGTGCAGGTCATCAGGTACATGAGGCAACCAACAAGCTCTGGGTACGGGCCACTCGGCTCTACGGACTCATCCGAAGGCAGAGCTGAGAGCGAGTGGCGAGTAGACAGAGGAGTGGCCTGAGGCGAGGAGTACGTGAAGTCGAAGCGCTGAAGGACCTGCTGCACCATGTGTGACTGAGTCAGGGTGATGGTGCGCTGTGCTCTGTCCCGGGTGATCTGCAAGCCAAGGTAGCTGCGCAGTTCACCCAGGTCTGTGCACGTGTGTCTCTTCTGCAGCTCGGACTTCACGTGGGCGAGTCCAGCAGTGTCAGCAGTGGCAAAGACCAAGTCGTCGACGTACACGAGGATGTAGAACGGCGGCAATGAGGTGTCGGTGCGCAGAAACAGCGACGGGTCGGCAGTAGAAGGAGCAAACCCAGGAGCCGCAAGTGTAGTCCTCAGTGTGTCGTGCCACTCACGCGGCGCCTGGCGGAGACCGTAGACTGGCCGCCGGAGGCTCCACTGGGTACCAGGAGGAAACGACCCAGTGAAGCCAGGTGGGCGGCGCAGCCAGATCTCCTCGTGCAGGCTGCCTTGCAAGAAAGCTGTGCTGAAGTCAAGAGAGTGAAGCTCGTAGTCACGCTGAGCGGCTATGTGCAGCAGCATCCGAAGAGTGGTCATCTTCGGGGTGGGAGAGAAGGTCTGAAAGTAGTCAACTGCCTGCCGCTGACTGAAGCCTCGAGCCACGTAACGTGCCTTGAAGACAGGCGGAGAACCAGGCGGCCGCTTCACCCTGAAAATCCACATGCCACTGACGATGTTCGCCCCAGGTGGGGGAACCTCATCGACGTAGGTGCCTGTGGACTTCCAGGAAGCCATCTCTGCGTCCATGGCTGACTGCCACTGTGAGGAGTAGGGACCCTCGATCGCCTCAGCGTACGATCGAGGAGTCGGGATGTCTGGTGCATCCGGGTCTCCCTCAGGGGCAATCAGCATGGACATGAGATGAGGCAAAGCAGCAGCAAAACACTGGAACTCCTCCTGCCTGTCCTCAAGGACGTCCGTGCTAAGAGCACACTCACCCCCGACGGACGGAGGACAGACAGACTCAGACTCAGCAACAAGACTAGCGGCGTAGTCTAGACGACAGTGAGCAGCGAAGTCGACAAGCTCAGCAACTAAGGCAGACGCAGCAGTGGACTCAAAGGAAGGGTCAATGACAACAGTAGCCAGGAGACGCGTGACAGTAGGACTAGCAGCACGAAGAGAGTCAGACTCCGGGTCAGCAAGAGCAGGAAGAGAGGACTCAGGAGGAGACGGCAAAGGGACACGCTGTGGAGCAGTGGAGGGACGCAGTGCCATCTGGTGTGTGCCGAGGACTGCAGGAGGACGCTGACGCGGAACACGGCGACCGGTGCGAACAGCACGAACAGGCGACGCTGGACGCGACTCAGGCTCACGACGCTCAGCAAGACCTCCAGTAGGACCAGTGTAGGGAGAAGGGGCAGGCAGTGGACAGGCCAGCTGTAACTGTGACGCGGACGGGACGGGCGGTGGACACTCTAAGGCAGGAGAAGGACCAGAAGAAGGCAGAAGGCCAAGAACCTGCTCAAGGAGAGGAACGAAGTACGGCCGCGGCCGTGCAGCGCCTCCAGAACCAGCAGGGACAGCACCAGCACCCTCAGCGTCAGCACCAACACCAGCAGCACCACCAGCTCCAGCAGCACCAATTCCAGCACCCCCAGAAGCACCAGCTCCTGCAGCTCCAGCTCCAGCAGGACCACCGAAAGACGCAGCAGCACCAGCTCCAGAAGGACCTCCAGCAGCACCCACGCCAGTAGCACCTCCAGCGCCAGCACCAGCAGCACCACCATCCCGAGCAGCACCTCCAGCAAGACCAACTCCAGCAGCCGCAGCAGCACCCCCAGTCCCAGCAGCTCCAGTACCGCAAGTACGAGCACCTCCAGGACCAGCGGCTCCAGCACCTCCAGCATCAGCAGCATGGCTCCAGCGCCTGGCAAACCACTCGCGCAGCTCCTGTGGAGAGGGTAGCTCCCGCCGAGACGAAGTACCCAAAGGACCCCCAGACCCAGCTCCACCAGAGGCCACACGAGTAGACTCAGCACCCCCGGGCTCCGCACCCCCAGGCTCAGCACCCCCAGGCTCCGCTCCCCCAGGCTCCGCACCCCCAGGCTCAGCACCCCCAGGCTCAGCACCCCCAGACCCAGCACCCCCAGACCCCGCACCCGCAGGCTCAACACCCCTAGCAGCACCCGAGTCAACAGCTACCTCGACAGGCTCGACTGCGTCTACCTGGGACACACCTGACGGGGCAGGACCCTTAGGGGGGAGAGGGTCTACCGGGGGGGGACCTGGCGCAAGGAAGAGTTGTGGCGGGGGGAGGGGCGCAGTGCGGTAGGGGAAGAGATGGTAGTAAGGAACCGACTCGTCAAAGGTGACGTCCTGGGAGGACAGAACACGGCGCGAGGTGGGGTGGTAAAACTGCCAGCCAGGCGCGTCAGGGGGGAAGCCAAGGAAGACGCAGGGAACAGCACGAGGGGACAGCTTGTCCGCAGACAAGTCGCGGACAAACGCCCGAGATCCCCAGACACGAAACGCAGACGCATCGCCAACCTTCCCCATCCACCGCAAGGTGGGGGAGGTCTCTGGCAAGGAGACCCGGGGCTGAAGGTTGATCTGATGCGCTGCGTACCGAACCGCAAACGGCCACAGAAAATGGGGAGCAGCCGCATGGATCATGGACGTACGAGCGACGTCCATGACCATGCCGATGCGGCGCTCAGCAATCCCATTTTGCTGTGGAGAGGCCGGAAGCGTGAACGTTTGGCGGATGCCCTGTGCACGACAGAAGGCTCCCAGAAGGCCAGAGGAAAACTCCCCGCCTCTGTCAGAGTGCAGACGCAGAACAGGAAAGTCCGAGCCGAAACTCTCTCCGAGCTGGAGACGAGCTGCGCGGATCCAGTCGATCAACACCTCAGTGACGTCACCCTTGCTGCGCAAGGGGAACACCGTGGTGTAACGCGAGTAGTCGTCAACCACCAACAGGAAGTAACGCTCGTGACCCTGGCCACGGACGCGGGCGGGGCCCCACACGTCCATGTGAAGAGTCTGCAGCGGAGCCTCTGTCGGAGGAAACTCGGAGGAGTGAGGAGCGGCGCGCTGCCGCCCCTCGACGCAGGGAACGCAGGTAGGGGCAGGCCCCGGAGGGAGGGGAGGGAGGGACCGGGGAAGACCAGAGACAAGGTAACGGGAGGCCATGCCTCGGAGACGAGGCAGGGAGGGGTGACCAAGGCGGTGGTGCCAGAGGAGAGTCCGGTGGGACAGGAGACGACACGAGCAGGGAGCAGACTCAGGACCAGTCCTGGACGCTGCAGCAAACACCTGACCCGACGCAGCTACCTGACCAGACCCAGCAACCGGAGGAGACTCAGTAGTCAGTGTGTACAGGCTCGACCCCGGCTGACGGGTAAACGTGGCCAAGTGTCGGCCCGTCCGAGCACACGTACAGTGGGTCACCCGCTGACTCGCAGGAGTGAACTGGTCAACCCCCCCATCTTGTAGATCAGCTCCACTCACTAAGTTCGTAGAGAACGAGGGGAGGTAGAGACCTGACAGGGAGCCAGAGGGGGCCGCCGGACACGGTAAGACAGTGGAGAAGTGGGCAAGGACAGGACCCCCAGAGGGGTCCGCCAGGGAGACCGCAACTGGCCGACTAAGCGGCGCAAGCGTGGTGCGGTCTCGAAAGAAGGAGCGGGAAGCACCCGAGTCAAGGGTGAAGGTGTGTAAGGCCTGAGCCGACGTGGTACCTGAGAGAGCAGACTCACCAGTACCTGGGGCAGCAGACGCACTAGCACCTAGAGCAGCCGCCTCACCAGCACCTAGAGCAGCAGCCGCACCAGCACCTAGCGCAGAAGCCTCGATGCCCGGGTCAGGCGGAACACACAGGTAACAGTCACCCTCATCACTAGTAGACACAACATACATGGCAGCAAGAATAGCATCATAATCCAGATCAAAGATTGCAACCCCCGACCTAAGCAGCTCGCCCCAGCGGGGGATCTCAGTGGCGTCAGGGAACTGGAGACGCCAAGCGTCCGTCAGGCGGCCGAAGCAGCGCTGGGTGGTGTGCGGGCCACCGCACGGTTCACCAGTGCGGTCGCCAGTACGCAGGACGTAGGCACAAGGACCAGCACCCCCGCCCCTCTGACGCGCAGCGTACCACTCACGAAGCTGCTGGGGGGGCGGGGTCTCACGAGTGCGCTGCTGCTGCTGGCGCTGACCACCACCGAAGCCGCCCCGCTGCGCAGAACCACCCCGACCAGCTCCACCTCCGCCGCCGCCACCTCCGCCACCGCCGTCACCGCCGCTCCCACCGCCACCGCCGCCGCCGCCTCCACCGCCGCCACCAAAGCCCCCACCCCCGCCACCACTCCCACCGCCACCCCCACTCCCTCCGCCGCCTCCACCGCCACCTCCACCACCCCCGCCAGCCCCTCCGGCGCCCTTGCCCCCCTTGCCCTTGCCGGTGCGGCGTCTCCCGCTAGAGGCAGACGCAGCGCCGACCGACTTGGTGCCAACGAAGTCGACGGCAGCAGCAGAGGCAACAGAGGGCAAAAGGGGTGAGGGGGAGCACCCCTCAAAGAAGGGGGCACGAGGGTCACCACGAGAGGCTCCTACAACGACTATACTCTTCTCAGCTGCCAGGAGGCGCTCCTCGAGGAGGTCAACGGTGAGTGTGGTGGGGCAAACCGAGAGGAAGTGGTCCCTGACCGAGCGAAGGGAGTCAGGGAGCCGGGTGACTAGGTAGTAGAGGGTGATGTACATGGGGGGGGGGGGTTCTTGGCGCAGAACTCAGCAGGAAGCGCAGCGCGGTAGCGGGCGTCACTAGTGCGAAGGTGCGTAATGAGGTCAGCGACTGTGGGAAAGGCGGCTAGGTCAGGGAACAGGTACAGCAGCATGAGGCGGCTAAGAGCAGTAGTGGCAGGGGAAGAGTAGCGTGCAATGACAGCGTCGTACAAGGTCTTAGCACTCTTGTACTGACTAAAGTGCGCGCGCTCAGAGGACGGCAAGTGACTACGCACAGCAAGGCGGGCGGCAGCATCGCGAGTGGCCCACTGGGAGCGAACAGTGCTGTCAGTATCAGCAGCAAGGGCAGTAGAGGCGCCAGACGTGAGATCGAACAGTGAGAGACCGTCTTTCCTATCGCACTGTAGGAAAAGCAGCAGATCATCGACCCAGACCTCAAAGTCAACAGCCCGACCCTCAGCATCAAAGACGAGAATGCTAGGGGTAGCCATAGCAGCAGTGGCAGCAGGCTAGGGGCAGCAGCAGTAGTAGCAGCAGTAGGGGCGCAGCTCGGTGGTGCTCTTACCAGAGCAGAGGGCCGCAAGTGGTGAGGCAGGGCCGAGGCGCGCCGGCAGGGACGGGGCCGCTACAGGGCGGGGCCGGGCCGGGACGGCTGCGGCGGTCCCTGGTGTCGGCGGCGGCGGCGGCTGCAGTCAGCGGCTGCGGCGGCTGCGGCCCCGGCTGTGGCGGCGGCGGCTGCTGCTGTTGGCGGCTGCGGCGGCTGCTGCTGTTGGCGGCTGCGGCGGCTGCGGCCCCGGGAGTGACGGCAGCGGCTGCTGCCGGCGGCGGTTCCAGCGGTGGCGGCTCCCGCTGCAGGAGCGGCGACGGTGGGGCGGGAGGGCCGTGAGGGAGCCGTGAGGGGCCGCGAAGGGTGGCGACGGGGCCGAGAAGGGGCCGTGAGGGGCCGCGACGGGCGGCGACGGGGCCGTGAAGGGCGGCGACAAGGCCGAGACGGGGCCGCGAGGGGCCGCGAATGGCGGCGACGGGGCCGTGAAGGGCGGCGAAAGGGGCCGCGGAGGGCGGCGACGGGGCCGTGGAGGGGCCGCGAGGGGCCGCGAGGTGCCGTAAGGGGCCGCGAAGGGCGGCGACGGGGCCGCGAAGAGGCGGCGTTAGGGGCGTGGAGGGCCGCGACGGGGCCGCGAAGGGGCCGCAAGGCGCCGCGAAGGGGCCGCGAGGGGCCGTAAGGGGCCGCGAAGGGCCGTGAGAGGGGCCGCGAAGGGCGGCGGAGGGGTCGTGAGGGAGCCGCGAAGGGGCCGTGAGGGGTCGTGAGAGGGGCCGCGAGGGGCCTTAGGAGGGCTCGACGGGCCGCTAAGGGCAGGGGACGCGACGGGAGGGTTGGCACACGGGGCGCGACTCGGGCAGGAGCGAAGCGCGCTCCGGGCAGGAAAAAAAAAAATCGATCGTGGTGGGCCCTAGGAAGCGTTCCCACTAGGGAACGTGCTCTATACCATGTGAAAGAACAAGGAATGAATGCACTAGGAAACAGGTGGGTACAAGTAGGAAAACCTAAAAGTGTTGTACCCCATATTGTCTACCCCACTACAGCCTACACAGACTATAGCATGTAAGTCTGACAGCGAGAACAGCGGCTCCTAGGGGCTAAGGTGCGTAAGTCCCTTCGAGTGAAAAATCAAAAGTTGATTTCCTGGGGTGCGGAGATGCGCGGTCCGAAAGAAAGTAGCTCTGATACCAAGTGTTACGGGTGCAATGAATCGAGGTAGCGAGGATTGCACTAGAGTGTCACTACCTGCGGAACGGCATCACGTGGTCGATGGTGCGCACCTGGCGAAACCTACTACACGGATTATACCACGCACCTGCGCAATGTGCATGACGGTGAAACTGCCAACCTGGTCCTACTTCCTAGGTGCGCACACCTGCGCAGATAGCTAACCTGCGACTGCAAATGGTCACCTGCGACTGCAGTGCTGGCAGGCCACGCGCAATGCAACGCTTGCATACCACTCTGCTGCAACGTTGGCAAGCCGCTCTTCTAAACCGTTGGCGAAACTCATCAAGCATTTGCCAACAAGTTGATGGTTTGATTCAATTGTCAGTGGGGTCCAATTTCACCCACGGATCGAAAATCCGTTCTGTACAGAATTTGCATCCACACATAAAAGGCATGTGTTATTTGTTGGGTCAAAGTATACTATTGAATTAACCATATGCTAACACTCACGGTTTTTGCCATAATGAGGGATTTATATTTGAGTGCATGAGCATTGGAGTGTGCTATTAGATTATAATGCATCAAGAAATACATTCCTATGTTACAAGTTTGTTTCCGACGTTTATGTGTGGTGCATTTGGGACTGTTCCGCGTGGCCCATTCAAGAGATTTAAAATTGTCGGTAGCTGCGTCGAGTCAGGTGTTTGCTGCAGTGTCTAGGTCTGGTCCTGAGTCTGCCCCCTGCTCGTATCGTCTCCTGTCTCACCAGACTCTCCTCTGGCACCACCGCCTTGGTCACCCCTCCCTGCCTCGTCTCCGAGGCATGGCCTCTCGTTTCCTTGTCTCGGGTCTCCCCCGGTCCCTCCCTTCTCTTCCTCCGGGGCCTGGCCCCACCTGCGTTCCCTGCGTCGAGGGGCGGCAGCGCGCCGCTCCTCACTCCTCCGAGTTTCCTCCGACAGAGGCTCCGCTGCAGACGCTTCACATGGACGTGTGGGGCCCAGCCCGCGTCCGTGGACAGGGTCACGAGCGTTACTTCCTGCTGGTGGTTGACGACTACCCGCGTTACACCGCAGTCTTCCCCTTGCGCAGCAAGGGTGAGGTCACTGAGGTGTTGATCGACTGGATCCGCGCAGCTCGTCTCCAGCTCAGAGAGAGTTTCGGCTCGGACTTTCCTGTCCTGCGTCTGCACTCCGACAGAGGCGGTGAGTTTTCCTCTGCCCTTCTGCGAGCCTTCTGTCGTGCACAGGGCATCCGCCAGACGTTCACGCTTCCGGCCTCTCCACAGCAAAATGGGATTGCTGAGCGCCGCATTGGCATGGTCATGGACGTCGCTCGTACGTCCATGATCCATGCGGCTGCTCCCCATTTTCTGTGGCCGTTCGCGATTCAGTACGCGGCGCATCAGATCAACCTTCAGCCCCGGGTCTCCTTGCCGGAGACCTCCCCTACTCTGAGGTGGACGGGGAAGGTTGGCGATGCGTCTGCGTTTCGTGTCTGGGGATCTCGGGCTTTTGTCTGCGACTTGTCTGCGGACAAGCTGTCCCCCCGTGCTGTTCCCTGCGTCTTCCTTGGCTTCCCCCCTGACGCGCCTGGTTGGCAGTTTTACCACCCCACCTCGCGTCGTGTTCTGTCTTCCCAGGACGTCACCTTTGACGAGTCGGTCCCCTTCTACCGTCTCTTCCCCTACCGCACTGCCCCGCTCCCCCCTCCGCCGCTCTTCCTCACGCCAGGTGCTGCCTTGGTAGACCCCTTGCCTCCCCAGGTTCCTGCTCCCTCAGGTGTTTCCCAGGTAGACCCGGTCGAGCCTGTCGAGGTAGCTGTCGACTCTGGTCCTGCGCGAGGTACTGAGCGTGCTGAGCCTGGTGGTGCTGGGTCTGGAGGTACTGAGCCTGGGGGTGCGGAGACTGGGGGTGCTGAGCCTGGGGGTGCAGAGACTACGGGTCCTGAGCCTGGGGGTGCAGAGACTGTGGGTGCTGAGCCTAGGGGTGCAGAGACTGCAGGTGCTGAGCCTGGGGGTGCTGCGCCTAGGGGAGCTCTCTCTTCCCAGCAGCTACGTGAGTGGTACTCTCGGTACTGTCGCAGCCTCCGGGGTGCTGCTGGAGCTGTTGGCGCTGGTCCTCCTGGAGGTGCTCCTGGTGCTGGATCTGCTGGCGGTGCTGGAGCTGGCGGTCCTGCTGGTGTTGGCGCTGGAGGTGCTGCTGGCGCTGGTGCTTCTGAGGGTGCTGGTGTTGGCGCTGCTGGAGCTGGAGGTGCTGCTGGTGTTGGAGCTGGCGGTGCTGCTGGCGCTGGTGCTTCTGAGGGTGTTGGAGCTGGCGGTGCTGCTGGCGCTGGTGCTTCTGAGGGTGCTGGAGTTGGCGCTGCTGGAGCTGGAGGTACTCCTGGTGTTGGAGCTGGCGGTGCTGCTGGCGGTGGTGCTTCTGAGGGTGCTGGAGTTGGCGCTGCTGGAGCCGGAGGTGCTGCTGGCGCTGGTGCTGCCGCTGGGGGTACTGGTGCTGTCCCTGCTGTTTCAGGAGGCGCTACGCGGCCGCGGCCGTACTTCGTTCCGCTCCTTGAGCAGGTTCTTGCTCTCCCGCCTTCTACTGGTCCTCCTCCTCCCTTAGAGTGTCCACAGTCTGTCCCGTCGCAGTCACAGTTACAGCTCGCCTCCCCACTGCCTGCTCCTTCTCCCTACACTGGTCCTACTGGAGGTCTTGCTGAGCGTCGTGCGCCTGCGTCTCGTCCTGCGTCGCCTTTTCGTGCTGCTCGCACTAGTCGTCGTGTTCCGCGTCAGCGTCCTCCTGCGGTCCCGGGCACGCACCAGATGGCACTGCGTCCTTCCACTGCTCCGCAGCGTGTCCCTTTGCCGTCTCCTCCTGAGTCCTCTCTTCCTGCTCTTGCTGACCCGGAGTCGGACTCTCTTCGTGCTGCCAGTCCTACTGTCACGCGTCTCCTGGCTACTGTTGTCACTGACCCTTCCTTTGAGTCCACTGCTGCGTCTGCCTTAGTTGCTGAGTTGGTCGACTTCGCTGCTCACTGTCGTCTAGACTACGCTGCTAGTCTTGTTGCTGAGTCTGAGTCTGTCTGTCCTCCGTTCGTCGGGGGTGAGTGTGCTCTTAGCACGGACGTCCTAGAGGACAGGCAGGAGGAGTTCCAGTGTTTTGCTGCTGCTTTGCCTCATCTCGTGTCCATGCTGATTGCCCCTGAGGGAGACCCGGATGCACCAGACATCCCGACTCCTCGATCGTACGCTGAGGCGATCGAGGGTCCCTACTCCTCACAGTGGCAGTCAGCCATGGACGCAGAGATGGCTTCCTGGAAGTCCACAGGCACCTACGTCGACGAGGTTCCCCCACCTGGGGCGAACATCGTCAGTGGCATGTGGATTTTCAGGGTGAAGCGGCCGCCGGGTTCTCCGCCTGTCTTCAAGGCGCGTTACGTGGCTCGAGGCTTCAGTCAGCGGCAGGGAGTTGACTACTTTCAGACCTTCTCTCCCACCCCGAAGATGACCACTCTTCGGGTGCTGCTGCACATAGCCGCTCAGCGCGACTACGAGCTTCACTCTCTTGACTTCAGCACAGCTTTCTTGCAGGGCAGCCTGCACGAGGAGATCTGGCTGCGCCGCCCACCTGGCTTCACTGGGTCGTTTCCTCCTGGTACCCAGTGGAGCCTCCGGCGGCCAGTCTACGGTCTCCGCCAGGCGCCGCGTGAGTGGCACGACACACTGAGGACTACACTTGCGGCTCTTGGGTTTGCTCCTTCTACTGCTGACCCGTCGCTGTTTCTGCGCACCGACACCTCTCTGCCGCCGTTCTACATCCTCGTGTACGTCGATGACTTGGTCTTTGCCACTGCTGACACTGCTGGACTCGCCCACGTGAAGTCCGAGCTGCAGAAGAGACACACGTGCACAGACCTGGGTGAACTGCGCAGCTACCTTGGCTTGCAGATCACCCGGGACAGAGCACAGCGCACCATTACCCTGACTCAGTCACACATGGTGCAGCAGGTCCTTCAGCGCTTCGACTTCACGTACTCCTCGCCTCAGGCCACTCCTCTGTCTACTCGCCACTCGCTCTCAGCTCTGCCTTCGGATGAGTCCGTAGAGCCGAGTGGCCCGTACCCAGAGCTTGTTGGCTGCCTCATGTACCTGATGACCTGCACTCGACCTGATCTTGCATACCCTCTTAGCATCTTGGCACGCTATGTTGCTCCTGGGAGACACCGACCAGAGCACATGGCTGCAGCGAAGAGGGTGTTGCGCTACTTGTGCAGTACGTCGGGCATGGGGCTAGTGCTTGGAGGGCGGCGTTCAGTGGTCCTCACAGGTCACGCAGACGCTTCTTGGGCTGACGACCAGGCTACGCAGCGGTCGTCACAGGGTTACACCTTCAGCCTTGGTTCCGGCTCTGTTTCGTGGCGGTCTACCCGCTCGTCTTCTGTTCTCGGCTCCAGCTGTGAGGCTGAGATCTACGCGGGGGCCATGGCTGCACAGGAGCTACGCTGGCTCACCTACTTGCTGACTGACCTAGGAGAGCCGCCTCGTTCTCCTCCAGTTCTGTACGTAGACAACAAGGCCATGCTGGCCTTGTGTCGGGAGCACAGACTGGAGCACAGAACGAAGCAGATTGCTCTTCGCTACTTCCTTGCTCGTGAGCTGCAGCAGCGTGGTCAGCTGCGCCTTGCTTACGTGGCCTCTGAGGCCAACACTGCTGATATCTTTACCAAGGCACTTCCGCCTTGTGATCATCAGCGCTGCTGTACGATGCTAGGTCTTGTGCCTACTTGGCCTCACTTGCTCACTTCTTGACCTTGCTTGTACTGTGATCTTTCTATACCTGCACTTGCTTGTTTACCTTTATATATGATCTTGCATGTGAACTGGCCTTGTGGCCTTGAACTTGTGCTCGGAATGTGTGGTGACGTTGTGATCCACCCTGAGCTTGCTTTGCCTTGCTTGACTGGTCTTGTGACCTCTTGTTCTCCCCCACTTTGCTTATGGGGGTGTGTCAAACTTATATGCTATAGTCTGTGTAGGCTGTAGTGGGGTAGACAATATGGGGTACAACACTTTTAGGTTTTCCTACTTGTACCCACCTGTTTCCTAGTGCATTCATTCCTTGTTCTTTCACAATATTGCCCCCATATAATTGTATCGTTGGTCCCTGCATAATTACAATACAAGGAATAGAGTTACGTTTCGATGTTCGAATAGCGAATAGTATCGAATACCCCGAATATTTCTAAACTGAATATTCCGCATCTACGAATACTATGTCAGCGAATATTTTCGAATACATGGTCGTTTTGTATTTGTACGAATTCCTGGTATTCTAGCGAATACCGAATAGTTCACGAATACCCAATATTCCTGCATAGGCTTACCTGACAGGAGCCGTTCCAGCAAACTGCAAGTTTGGGGTTAATTGGAGTGGCCTCTTTTTAAGCCACAACAATTTCTCGGGCAGCTTGCAGCCGTTTTCGAATCTGCCCACGTATCTCAAAGCTCTGGACCTCGGATTCAACAAGTTCACAGGGAGCATTCCCCCACGCCTCGCCAGTTTACCCGAGCTTACATTCTTGGCCCTCGGGGGAAACACTCTCACAGGTTAGCTGCATTGGAAAACCGCAGATTCGACCAAATCAGTTTAATGTAACTGCTAGTTTAGACACTTAGAACCCACAGTCTCACCCACTCCTTTCATGTGCGTGACTTCTTTCTTCTGATATGAACCACTCAGAACTACTCATCATCTGTTTTCTTCTTCTGAGCTTTCCAAGCACCGATCTTACCCGCTCTTTTCTTCTGCTTCCCCTACCCCATCCTCCATTCTCCATCATTAATCTTTCTCCAACCTCCCCTCTCCTCATCCCTCATCATTAGGCCTCATCCCCCTCCGCTGCAAAATGGGGCATGCCCCCTCACCTTCCCCAACCCCAAACCTGTTTCTCACTCCCTTAATCTGTCCCCTCCGCTCCTCAACCCCTCAGGGCCCATCCCCGCAGGTGTGAGCAGCATGAAACAGTTGCAAGTACTCGGGTTGGCATACAACAACCTTTCGGGAAAAATACCCGCGGTTTGGGCGGGAATGATACAGCAAGTGCGGCTGGCAGGGAATCAGCTGTCAGGGGCTGTTCCGGCTGCTCTGAGCAAGTTGAAGCAAGGCTCGTTCAAACCAGGGAACCCCAACCTGCGTGGAACCCCGCTGCCTGCCTGTGCTTAGAACCTATGCGATGTGACACTACCAGGGAACTGGTTGTCAGGGGTTGTTGTTTCGCTCTGAGCAAGCTGAATCGAGGCTCGTTCAAACCAGGGAACCCCAACCTGTGTGGTGCACCGCTGCCTGCTTGTGCTTAGAGCCATTTTGATGGGACACTAGCGAGGAGAAGGCTGTCTGTCAGTCAGGGGCTGTTCCATTCCGGCAGCTGTGAGCAAGCCAGGCACACCAGGGAACGGCAACCAGAGAAGGCTGTCAGGGGCAGTGACTACATTGACCTCTGGCTTTTGAGAATGCTAAAAAACTTGCTGCTTGTGCTTTTAATTATCCCTTCCTAACCGCCGCCCTGCGGGCCATAAGCGGGCTTCAGCGAGCAAAACTCGTGCATGCTAGTTGCAAGGAAGAAATGTGGCGTACGGAAGGTACGGTGTGATGTAGTGTGGTGTCTAAAAAATTGCAGAAATTACAAGAAAGCAGGAAGCTAGTCTCCTCCAAATTGATCTCATAAGTGTTGGAGTGTAAAGCAATAGACAAAAAACGAATTCATCCAGTGTTCGAGTGGTCAGATCAGGGCAATTGAATGTTTCAAAGCTCCCCAATCGTATTCTGAAGCAGCAACAGGGCCACCACTTGCCCCAGCAGCTCCCACCTCATCTGCCTCTGCCTCCACTCGTGCACCTGTCTGCACTGCTGCGCCCGCTATCCTTGCACCTGTCAGCGTTGCTGCTTCTCCCAACAGTCCTTTGCTTGCAGCATTTTCCAACTGTGCTGCCATACCGACCTCAACCCCACCACCAGCACCACTACCAAAAGCACCACTAGATCTCACCTCTCCTCCGTTCTCCTGTATCTCTGCATCCTCCTCTTCCCCTCTGACCCCATCAATCTCCCCATCAATCCCCCCATCTATTTCCCTGTGAATCGCCCTGTCTTCCCCAACCACCCCACCCTTCCCTTCTCCCCCTCCCCTTTCACCACTCTGCTGCCCCTCACCCTCTCTCTCGCCCGGACCTGGCCCACCCGAACCTCCATCCTGACCAAACGCCCAGGCCGGGCCTGCGCCGAACCTCCTTGCAGCCTCAAACGGCGGCTCCAGGTTCGGAAGAACGTCGAAGCTGGCAGCTAGGGACGGCATGGTCCCCACAGCACAGGGCACCCAGTTAGCCGCAACCCTGCACCTCTTTCTGGGAAGGTTCCTTTCAACAACGCTCCTCCTTTTCTTGCCAGCCCCTCTCATTCCGCCTCCCTGTTTCCTCTTCTCCCCATCCCCTTTTCCTATCTCCCCCTTTTCACTCTCCCCTCTCCCGGTCTCCTTTTTCCCTGTCCCCACAACCACAACTCCCCCTTTCCCCTTGCTGCTACTCGCCCCTCCCTTCCCCACAACTCCTCCCTTCGCCACAACTCCTCCCTTCCCCACAACTCCTCCCTTCCCCTCAACTCCTCCCCTCCCCACCTATGTTGGCAGATACGCGTTCGCGTATCATACGCTAGCATACGATACGCTAGCGTATATACGCTATACGTCCTTGTTCCCGTACCAAAAATAGGCGAAAATTTGCTGGGCGGGCAGGAAAAACTTTCTCCCAGGCAGGTTCCGCCCTCAAACTGTAGGAGTGGAGGTCGCCAAGGCAGAAAAAATCCAAAGGTAGAATAACTCGAGCGCGATGAGAGATGGACGACATGCAAGAAGAGAAATTCGGGATTGAATGAAAGACGAGCGGTTGAAGGACTGAGGAGATGTTGAACAAGTGAAAGGGGGGAGGATGGGTTTGGGAGGTTGAGGGGTGGTGTGTGGTTGGGGATGTGGGAGGGGTTGGATCTTGAATTTTGAGTTGCCGACAGGGGTTGGGTGCTGTGCGAGGTCGAGGGGGTTCAATTCTCGCCGTCGCAAATTCTCGCATTTTTTTTTCTACGGGCTGCCCGGCGTATTTTAGCGATTTCCAGACGTATTTGAGTATTTCGTACATTCGCAGGTGTATATACGCAACGTCCACCCCCCGAGGGCGTATCTGCCAACTTAGCTCCCCACACCTCCTCCCTTCCCCACAACTCCTCCCCTCCCCGTGCTACTACTCGCCCGAACCACTTGCTCGATTGCACTCAGTTCCCTCTCCATCTCCCTCAGAAGCTTCTCGGTTCCTTCCTCGAAGACAGACAGACAGACAGACAGACAGACAGACAGACAGACAGACAGACAGACAGACAGACAGACAGACAGACAGACAGACAGACAGACAGACAGACAGACAGACAGACAGACAGACAGACTGACAGACTGACTGACTGACTGACTGACTGACTGACTGACTGACTGACTGACTGACTGACTGACTGACTGACTGACTGACGGACTGACTGACTGACTGACTGACTGACGGACGGACTGACTGACTGACTAACTGACCGACCGACCGGCCGACTGACCTGATGATCACAGCAGGGCAAGACTGGCTGGCGGTGCACAAACCGCACAGAACCCCTCGGCAATCCCATGACATGCAAACAGCTAGACCGTGGTAAGGCAAGTGTGTGACATGACACGGCATAGCATGTGACACTCGCTTGACATGGCATAGCACTCGCCTGACATGCAAAAAGCTAGACCGTGGCAGGTGTGTGACATGACATGGCATAGCACTCGCCTGACACGACTAAGAATCACACACTAACAACGACTGACCGACCTGATCATCACAGCCGCATACGACTGGCTGGCGGAGCACGAACCGCACAAAACCCCTCTCAACCGTGCGTGGTGAGCTCACACTGACCGACCTGATGATTACAGCCGCATATGATTGGCTGTCAGAGCACAAACCGCACAAGACCGCACAGAACCACTCTTAACCATGTGTGTTGAGCAAGGGCTGACCTGATGATTACAGCCGCTTACGATTGGCGGAGCACGAGTGGGGGCAGAGGAGGTACCACGTGGACGGGGGGCGGCCTGGGGGAGGGAGTGAGTGAGGGAGGGAGTGAGGGAGAGAGGGAGTGAGAGAGTGAGGGAGGGAGGGAGGGAGGGATTGGGCGAGTCGGGGGCGAGGGGAGGGGGGGTTACTGATGGATTGTATGTTACGAGGGGAATGACCGGCGGAGCACGAATGGGGGGAGTGGAGGCAGGACGTTAGGCGGCCTGAAAGAAGGGGGAGGGATGGGATGAATGTCGGGACCCGTCCATCCCATGTGGCATGGAGGAAAAAAAAAACAACAGAATGAATAATGAACTGAAACCCTTGCAGGGTGGCATGGAGATGGGGAGAGAGGGAGGGAGAGGAAGAGGAGAGAGGGGGGGGAGGGGAGGCACCGGAAAAACTAGTACGGCTACTAATCGTGTCCAGCGTATTTCCAAGATAGTTCTTTTTCGCTCAATAGCCTACTCAACCGCTCTAGAGCGTAAAGCACCTCACTCAACCGCATCGCATCGCTTCACATGAACCTTTTGAGCACGCCCAGAGCATAGCCCCTCCCACAAAACCCACTCCAGACCTACGTTACCCAAATGTTCGGCTCTGAACCTGCATCCCCGATGCAAGCCAAACCACTCCCTCCCAATGCTCTTCCACATTCTCACTCACTCTTCCCACTCACCATCCACACCCCTCCCGCAGCTCCCGCTCACCTGAGTGACAGCCTGCCACTTGCACTAACGCTCTCTGCCCCTCTCTCTCCTCCCACCCACCATCCACACCCCTCCCGCAGCTCCCGCTCACCTGAGTGACAGCCTGCCACTTGCACTAACGCTCTCTGCCCCTCTCTCTCCTCCCACCCACCATCCACACCCCTCCCGCAGCTCCCGCTCACCTGAGTGACAGCCTGCCACTTGCACTAACGCTCTCTGCCCCTCTCTCTCCTCCCTCCCACCATCCACACCCCTCCCGCAGCTCCCGCTCACCTGAGTGACAGCCTGCCACTTGCACCAACGCTCTCTGCCCCTCTCTCTCCTCCCACCCACCATCCACACCCCTCCCGCAGCTCCCGCTCACCTGAGTGACAGCCTGCCACTTGCACTAACGCTCTCTGCCCCTCTCTCTCCTTCCACCCACCATCCACACCCCTCCCGCAGCTCCCGCTCACCTGAGTGACAGCCTGCCACTTGCACTAACGCTCTCTGCCCCTCTCTCTCCTCCCTCCCACCATCCACACCCCTCCCGCAGCTCCCGCTCACCTGAGTGACAGCCTGCCACTTGCACTAACGCTCTCTGCCCCTCTCTCTCCTCCCACCCACCATCCACACCCCTCCCGCAGCTCCCGCTCACCTGAGTGACAGCCTGCCATTTGCACTAACGCTCTCTGCCCCTCTCTCTCCTCCCACCCACCATCCACACCCCTCCCGCAGCTCCCGCTCACCTGAGTGACAGCCTGTCGCAGCACCGGCAGCTGCAGCAGTCGATTGTGGGCCCAGCCAAGGCTGTGAAGGGGACGGAGGGGGGAGGGGGGAGTGGAAGGGGAAGCGAGAGGGGAACGGGAATGGTGGGTGGGGAGAAGCGGGAGTAAGGAGGGAGGGAGGGTAAGCGCCAGGGCTCTGCGGCTTCCTATGAAGCTCTTCACATGGCATGGGGAGATCCCACACCGGCATGGGGAGATCCCACACCGGCATGGGGAGATCCCACACCGGCATGGGGAGATCCCACACCGGCATGGGGAGATCCCACACCGGCATGGGGAGATCCCACACCGGCATGGGGAGATCCCACACCGGCATGGGGAGATCCCACACAGGCATGGGGAGATCCCACACCGGCATGGGGAGATCCCACACCGGCATGGGGAGATCCCACACCGGCATGGGGAGATCCCACACCGGCATGGGGAGATCCCACACCGGCATGGGGAGATCCCACACCGGCATGGGGAGATCCCACACCGGCATGGGGAGATCCCACACCGGCATGGGGAGATCCCACACCGGCATGGGGAGATCCCACACCGGCATGGGGAGATCCCACACCGGCATGGGGAGATCCCACACCGGCATGGGGAGATCCCACACCGGCATGGGGAGATCCCACACCGGCATGGGGAGATCCCACACCGGCATGGGGAGATCCCACACCGGCATGGGGAGATCCCACACCGGCATGGGGAGATCCCACACCGGCATGGGGAGATCCCACACCGGCATGGGGAGATCCCACACCGGCATGGGGAGATCCCACACCGGCAGCTGCAGCAGGCCATTGTGGGGCCAGGGCCGTGCAGGGGAAGGGGGATGGGGAGGAAGAGCAGAAGGGTGGAGAGAAGGTGGAGAGAGGAGGGAGGGGAGGGAAGGACGGTATGGGGTGGGACGTTTCAACACTGGAGTGTTTAACCCACAGGGCAACAGCAGTAAGGGGCTCTACTCCATTGCACTGTGGTGGTAAGGCGTCACGGACCGTTGCCCTTGTGAGACTAGCCTTAGAATGCCGCACGTCCACCAGCAGTCTCGGGATGCCCACATGTGCCGCCACCCTCCCCACCGACCGACCGACCTAGTGCTGGGTTGCGACTGTCACCCTAGACCACAAACATACACGTGGAAGGGCCACTGAAGGAAGAACGGGGAGAAGCACAAAGAAAGAAAGAATTCCAGCAAAAACCACTGCGAGGACTCGTCTAAGTATTGTTCGGGACTTGGCTTCTGTTCGAAATGCTCCCATAAAGATTCACTGGCGGATCTGCAAAAAATGTGTTCGTCAGAATATTGACGACAAGTTCGTCAGGCATATAATTAATGCCTGTTGACCAAACAGTTTCCGAGCTACTGGCCGCCGCGGTGTCCGCCATGAGGAGGTAACGATGATTTACTCGAAACTGATGCGAGATTCGTCTGGGCAAAGCAGATGCGAGCAAGGAAGGAAAGTACTGGGGAGGTATTGATGCGAGCAAAGGACATTTCAACCGGGCAATGGCTCATCTAGGTCTCTCGGGCATTTTGTTTCTACAACCCGAACTGGCTGTTTCGAACGTGAGCGGGTAACATCTGTCGCCAGAGATGTCGTCTGTTGGGGAAGGCGGGGCTTGCGCTGCGAGATGGGCGAGACTGCTGGCGACAAAACGCCCTAAGGCTTTGGAGAACTGAATGTGACAACCACTGATAGCGTAAATGCACCGCTCTTGACCTCTCACAAATCTTGTGACCTCTCTCAAATCTCCCTCCATCCTTGTGATTTGAATTCGTCAATTCCTGTACCCCTCACCCAAATGCCAAGCCCTCTGGCCTGGGTATCCTAACCTTACCCAAACCAACGCAAACCAAACCATAGCTGAATTCGTCAGTTGCAGCGATTCCCGTGCCTCACCCATATGCCAAACCTTTGCCTGCCCAAACCCTTCGGTTGTCCTCACTTCACCTAGCCCGAACCAACCAGCCCAACCAAACCAGACCAAACCAGCCACTACCTAGCCAGGCAAACCAGCGCAAGCCAAACCCTGTAAACCAACCAAACCAGGCCAAACCAAACCAGCTCACCCATGCCTGCAAATCAACCCCTCCCACACCCACTTCCACCCACCAGCCGTCCCTCGCTACTGCTTCCTCTCGCTAGTCATGCCTCTCACTTCTGCTGATGCCTCTCTCGGTCTCCTGAGGGCGAATGCCTTCCAAGCCAAGCCTACGCATTACTTGCGCTGCCGTCGCGTGCATTCTATTCGTCCATACCGTTGGTGTAGCAGCAGCCATTCATTTCATTGCCGTAACCTTATCACTCTCCCATACAGCAATGACTAGCTCAGTAAGGTATGTGGACGGCTGTCGGCGAGAAATCGCATGGCACGTGATGGGTGTCTCTTCCCCCGTGGGAACTGCCACGTGGGACACATATGGGCGGATGCCGTGCGCTCAGCTCTTCCAGGAAAGCTCACCGCCATCTTATCTTTGAAAACCCAGCTTCGTATCGCCTCTATTCGTTTCCTTATCTTAATACTTCCTCGCTCGAAATGGAAACTCATTTCAGGTTTCATGCCGAAACTATCGTGTAGGTTTTGTTCTCACGGACACTTTTCGAAGGCTAGCAATCGCTTGGCTCGGAGTCGCACATGGCGGACATAGATTACCCTCGAGTCGAGCGTGCCATCACCGTTCTTCACGACGTGTTGCGCGCTCACGTTAGCATGACAGCGTGCCTCCTCCTGCTACTCCTCTACTGCTCACCGACGACGGCTTTCCAGCCTATATCAAGGCAGCTTGTATCGAAGCTACCTGCTGCTCGCCGCGGACGAGGACTCTCCGCGGGGACAGTTCCGCATCGCGCGGCGCAATATCTCGCTGCGCGGCGGCCGGAGAGAACATTATTTGGAGACGCCTATAGTCCCTGCTATGAGTTCGAATCTGCGTCCGACGCAGCAATGGGCGGAACAAGCTCGCCGCAGGCTTCGGCGGCTGAGACGGCGGCCCTCAAGGCGGTTTTCACGGCAGCGCTGATTCCTATCCCGGCAAACCAGCCGGACGCGTGCCAGTGGCCCAGCGTGACTTGCTGCGGAGTCAGCGACGCTGTTACGCTGCTATCCCTCTCGAAGAACATCAACCCCCCACCCACGCCTCGCCTTTGCAACCGTACTGCGCGCGAACCGGGCGGAAAGTTCCCCGCAACCCTCTCCGATTCTATCGGCCAGTTGACGAATCTCGTCAGTCTCAGTCTGAAAGGTCTCTGGCTTGCTGGCTCTGTCCCGCGATCGATTTCCCGGCTTACAAAAATGCAGATCGATCTCGATCTTAGCCATAACTGCTTCGCTGGCCCTATCGGCCTTTTTCGAATGCCGACGCTTGAATATTTCAACGCCTCCAATAATTTCTTCTCCGGCGGGTTACCGCAACGGCCTGCTGCGTACGCGGCGACTTCGCTAAGGACTCTGGATCTCGGGAATAATAGGCTGTCCGGGCCGATCCCTGCTGCCCTCGCGACGCTGCCGAACCTTGATGCTATACATTTGAACTCGAATCGGCTATCCGGGAAAATTCCCCGGGGCTTCGCCGGTTTACCCCATCTTCAATACTTGGACCTCGGGACAAACGCTCTGACAGGTGAGCTGCTTGGAAGAACTCTCACTGTTTCGTTCCGATGAGCTTTCTGTTCCCTCTCCGCACCCCTCAGGCCCCATCCCCGCCTTCATTCTCCAGCCCCCTCGCCTACAATACAATGCCCTCTCCGGCCCGCCCACCCCCCTGTCTCTCCCTCCTGGTCCCTCTCTCTCCTCCCGATCCTGCACCCCTTGCTGCAATCACTTCTCTGCTGGCATTGACTCTTCATATCTCCCTTCTCTATCCCTGTGCTTGTGCCTACGTCCCATCCCCCACCCCACCTCCCAGGTCCCATCCCCGTCTTCTGCCAGGGACGGCAATCCCTCACCTTCCTCAGTCTCGCCTCCAACGCCCTCTCCGGCCCGCCCACCCCGCTCTCCCCCCCCTCCTGCTCCGCCTCCCTCACCCTCCTTTACCTCTCCTCCAACCGCCTCTCCGGCCCCATCCCCGCTACAATCGGCTCCTTTGAAATCCTCATGCGCCTCCGCCTCGATAACAACGCCCTCACGGGACCGATCCCAGCCGGGGTGAGAACGATGGGAATGTTACAGAGGCTCGGGCTGTCGTATAACCGGCTTTCAGGTGCCATTCCCGCAGTTTGGCCGGCAAGGCTATGGCAAGTGAAGCTGGCGGGGAATCGGCTGAGAGGGGCTGTTCCGGCTGCTCTGAGCAAGCTGAAGCGAGGCTCGTTCAAACCAGGGAATCCCAACTTGTGCGGAGCACCGTTGCCTGCGTGTGCATAGAACCATTTTGATGGGTCACTAGCGAGGAACCGTTTTGACAAAAATATGCAGCGAGGCTCGTTCAAGCCCGGGAACCCCAACCTGTGCGGGAAACCGCTACCTGCTTGTGCTTAGAACAATCACCCCAACTGATACCGTATGGTATATCTAATTAAATGTACCATATGTTTTAGATCATTTATAAACCATGTTTGACTGGTCACGCATGCTGTAAGCGAGCTGCAAAGAAACTCCTTCAAACTAGGCAACTACAGCTTGCGAAGAGCACTGCTGAAAAAGCAGGCTTCTTCAAGGTAGGGAACTACTGGTAGGTACCTGCTTTTCAGGCCAAAAGCGAGCTTCGTCGAGCAAAACCGCTGCGTGCTAGTTGCAAGATGGAAATCTGGCACAGTATGGAGTGATTTGTCAAAAGTTGTAGAAATTACAAGGAAAATCAATGAAAGCAAACCTCCGAACTAACCTCCCCCCTGTCCAAGTGTTTCAAGGCTGCCCAGTCATACCCTAAAGCAGCAACAGGGCCACCTCTGGCCCCAGCACCTCCCCCCACATCCCCTGCTTCCTCCCCCCACATCCCCTGCTTCCTCCCCCCACATCCCCTGCTTCCTCCCCCCACATCCCCTGCTTCCTCCCCCCACATCCCCTGCTTCCTCCCCCCACATCCCCTGCTTCCTCCCCCCACATCCCCTACTTCCCCACTATTCTGCCACCACTTGTGCACCTCCCGGCATTGCTGCGGCCAATCAACACTATCCCTGTCCTTTCATCTCGCCCCAAGTCACCCATACCCGCATTCTCCTTTCATCTCGCCCCAAGTCACCCATACCCGCATTCTCCTTTCATCTCGCCCCAAGTCACCCATACCCGCATTCTCCATGAAGCCCTATCCATTCCACATCTCCACTTCACTGTCGGTTCCAAACTCCCCCTCTAGTGCTGCGCTCACCATTAGCGAATCCCCGCTCGTTAACAGAATCTCTCTTAACTGCTGGGAATGACCCAGCCAGGCAGCAGGGAAGGCAAACGCTGTTGTTACCATACCGCAACGTGTCACCACACCACTGGGTGTTACCGGTGTGGGTGCAGGTGCCAGCGCAAGTGCCACGTCAGCAAGTACATGTGGCAGGCGGGGACAGGAGGGGAGGGCGTGCAGGCAGCGCGTGGCGCAGCGGGCGAGGAGAGCTTGAGAAGCGCCTTGTGATGGGGTGCCGTGTGCTAAGGCATGCTGGGATGATGGGTCTGTGCCAGTCAGATGCATTGCAAATCATCCGCCTCCCCCTCCTCTTCATCCTCCTCTCTCTCCTTTCTCCTCCTCACCATCAACAGGCGTCTCCTCGCCTAATCCTTCCTCCTCTTGACCAATACACTCCATTCTATCCCCATGCCCTTGCCCTTCTTTCTCCCCTTCCCCTTCCCCTTTCCCTTCCGCATCCCCTTTCTCCTCCTCTTCCTCCTCCTCTTCCTCCTCCTCCTCTTCCTCCTCCCCGCTTCCTTCTCCTCTTGCTCCCCTCCCGGGCCTCCCCACGTTCTCACCACTACCACTTTTTGCACTGCCCCTTTCCATCCCTCCCCTCTCCCCGTCCCCCTCCCCCCCCTCCCCCTCGTCCAACTCCCTTCCATAAGCAACTACTTCAAACACTGCATCATCTCCCTCCACTCCTCTTTATCCCTCCGTTCCCCAACTCTCTGCTCCCTCCATCTCTCTGACCCTCTCTTTCCTCCCAACCACCATCCACACCCCTTCCTCTCACCTGAGTGACAGCCAGACGCAGCACCGGCAACTGCAGCAGGCGATTGTGGGATTGGGCTGGAAACGGGCACGAGAAGGGGTAGGAGAAGGGAGAGTGGGGGGGACGGAGGCAAAAAGGAGTAGGATAGCATGGGAGGTTTCAACACTGGCAACTGCAGCATGCGATTGTGGGGAAGGGCTGGAGACGGTGGGAGAAGGGGCTAGAGTAGGGAGAGTGGGGGGGGGAGGCGAAGAAAGGAAGGAGGGAAAACGATGGTATGTGGGATGTTGGCATCGGCAGTTGCATTGAGAGCCGATGTTGAACAGGAAGGCTGGAGACGGGACAGGGGAGGGGAAAGGGAGATGAACGATCGTTGGCTCGAAGAGTTTCGACACTGGCAGATTTTGACACTGGCAGCTTTTGACACTGGCAGATTTTGACAGTGGCAGCTTGGGACTCCAAGAATCACTGCTTGCTTAGACAAGCATATTTTGAAAAGCTGCCCTGCCACCCAGCAGTGCCGCACGTCCACCAGCAGTCGCGGGATGACCACATGTGCCGCCACCCCCTCAAAACCAACCCACCCAGTGCTGAATTGCTGTGATACACCGTGATATAGGGTTACCCTGTTTAATCTCCATTGCATTGTAACATTTCCCCACCTTACTTACGATGCATCACATCCACCAGCAGTCCCGGAATGCCCACATGAGCCGTGACCTGCCGAACGCGGCAACGCCCGATGGCGATTGTCACACAGACCACTCACAAACCTACACGTGGCAGGGTATGTGATAGGAGGAGTAAATATTGAAGCTTTCCGGTTAATCGATTAAGGTAGCATATGACCAGTCCAGCACCCAATGATTGAACCATCACATGCACACAGATGTTGAGATGTCTCAAACACCTCAAAACCTGCACACTCCTCAAAACCTGCACACTCCTCAAAACCTGCACACTCCTCAAAACCTGCACACACCTCAAAACCTGCACACACCGAACCTCTTCACACTCGGATCCTACGTGGCAAGTCTGACACACCATAGGTGTTGCGCTCAGGTGGACCGAACAACCTGATGATGACGGAAACGCACCTCAGGACCTGCACACACCGCACAGAACCTCTTCATGTACTCCCCCGAACCTACCAGAGGACTGGGTCCTGCAGCTCCATGGCGAGCATGCCAGCTGTCACGTCCACGTAGGCCGAAACCCGTCCCTTGATCTGCCATGCTGTCACCTGGCAGTTCAAAACGTGGGATACATCCAAGGGTGGAAAGGCAAGGAGGGAAAGAATCCGGTTAGAGGTTTAATAATTTGAAACTTATTAACAGAGGCAATACAATGGGTGAGGACAATTCCAAGGTTGATAGCAGGGAAGGAAATCGGGTTGGGGTTGAAGAGAAATGTGAGAATACCGTACGTTGATATGAAGATATGAGAATGTGAGAGAATTACCAGATCAAGGTTTGGGTTTTCCACACTGTTTCCCACTCCTCCCGCGACGATCAAAGATTCTGCACGCGATGCGACAATACGAATGGTTTCGTAGCGGGGATAACGGCTACTAACTACCGAAGCTGATCGACCCATCAAGCTCTAGCTCACCGCATCCCACTCTTCGCAGAACATTCACAAGCTTCAGTAAGGGATCACGAATCAGCCTACAACGGGGATACAGCTTACTTCCGGCTTACCCGGTCGTTTCCAAAGAAGATGGATTTGCGAGTGGCGGCGGGGTCCAGCAGATTCGGCCTCACCGCTTTACCTAATGCCTACCTGGTCCATTGCTGGCAACAGTATAACGCCCTCACTGCCTCCCACTCCTCGTCAAACGCCCGCAAAACGCGATAACGAAAAAATGCTATAAGGGATAATAATAATGGTAACCTACGCAGTCGATCCCGAAGGACGTTGACCCGCGAGTGAAGGGCGAGGTCCAGCAGACTCGGCCTCACCGCCTCCCACTTCCTGACGCCCATGGCACGTAGCGCAGCGCTAAAGACAAAAATCCCTATAACGAATGTGATTTCAGAGAATACCGTTTTAACGAATGCTGTTGTTGTGTGACGATCTGCTGTAGGAATCGCGATGATATCGGCTAGTGCTACGCAGGAAATAAATTCGTGAATCTGCTGAGAATTTCGAAGTCAGCTAGTAAAAACTAGTAGCATCAACAGCAGCGATCTGCTGAACCTCCTTATGGCAATTCAGCTCTGTTGCTTTAGTGTGCTCCATACTACACCTAGTGCTTCCTAAAGTGCTAGCGCGCGAGCAAATGAGAGGTTGGGGGGAGTCTAGGCTGACACAACGCAATGGACGTTCAGCTTTGCCTAATCACCGTGCAATGTCAAGTCATAGCGATAATATACCGTACTTTACCGTTCGTGAATCTCTTTGCTCTCGATTTCCCTCTGATGTAATCGATGGTTGCACCAAAGGCCGAGCTTCGCCCGAAATGCCGAACCTTGCCTCCCCAAAACCTCTTCGCTCCAACCAAACCTTCTGGTACCCAGGCAAAATCAACACCAAACCGAACCAGACCATAGCAAACCAGCCAAAGCAACCCACCCAGACCAAAGCAGCCCTGATCACACCCAGAGCAACCCAAGCCATAGAAACTCAAAGCAAACCACGCATAGCAACCCAACCAAAGCAAGTCAAACCATAGCAACCAAACCAGCGCAACCCAAACCATAGCACCCAACCAACGCGACCCAACCCATAGCAACCAAAACCATAGGAACCCAGCCCATAGCAACCCAGCCCATAGCAACCCAGCCCATACCAACCCAGCCCATAGCAACCCAATCCCTTACAACCAATCCAACCACAGCTGCAATTCAACCCCTCCCATCCACTGCTCTCCACCCGCACAGTTCCTCGCCAGTGGTGCCTCTCCAGAAGCATAAATGCCTGCCAAGCCAAGCCACCCCAAGCCCAGCCGTTGCTTGCGCTGCCGTCGCGTGCATTTCATTCGTCCATACCGCTGCTGTAGCAACAGCCATTCACTTCATTGGCGTAGCCTTATCAACTCACGTCCACTAAGTGCTCGCGCATAACACTCCCATACAGCAATGACTAGCTCAGTATGTTATGTGGACGGCCGTCGCACGTACTGGGTGTGTCTTCCGCTCCGCCGTGGAAACTGCCACGTAGGACAAGTATTGGGCGGATGCCGTGCACTCACCTCCTCAAGGAAAGCTCACCGCCATCTTATCTTGAATACTCAGCTTCGTATCGCCTCTACTCATTCCCTTATCTTAGTTCCTCGATCAAAACGGAAACTCGTTTCAGGTTTCACTGTGAAACTGTGTAGTAGGTTTGGTTTCTCACGAAACATTTTTCGGAAGCTAGACTCGGAGTCACATGGCGGACGTTGATTACCGTCGAGTCGCGCGTTCCATCATCACCGTTTTTCACGACGCGTTGCGCGCTCCCGTTAGTACGACAGCATGCCTCCTGCTACTCCTCTACTGCTCACCGCCGGTGACGATAGCTTTCCAGCCCGTATCGAGGCAGCTTGTGTCGAAGCTACCTGCTGCTCGCCGCGGACGAGGCCTCGCTGCGAGGCGGGCGGAGAGAGCATTATACATGGAGGGGGGCTGCTACGCGCCCACACCCTCGCCGCCGGCTTCGGCGGCTGACACGGCGGCGCTCAAGGCGATATTCGCGGCCGCGCTGATACCTATCCCGGCGAACCAGCCGGACGCGTGCACGTGGCCCGGCGTGACTTGCTGCGCCGGCGGCGTTAAGACGCTATATCTTTCGCACAGCGACCTCCCTCCCGCCCCCTCCCACCCACCCACGCCTCGCCTTTGCAACCGTACTGCGCGCGAAGCGGGCTTGAAGTTCCCCGCAACCCTCTCCGATTCTATCGGCCAGTTGACGAATCTCACCGATCTCGGTGTATCGAATCTCTGGCTTGCTGGCTCTGTCCCGAGATCCTTCTCCCGGCTCACAAATTTGCAGTGGCTCGAATTTGGCGGTAACTGCTTTGTTGGTCCTTTTCCTTTCGCCATTTTTAGCTCGCCGGCGCTTAGCTATGTGTCTGCCGCCCGAAATTTCTTCTCCGGCGGGTTACCACAACGCCCTGCTGCGTACGCGGCGGCGGCTCAGCTAACGACTCTGGATCTCGGGAATAATTGGCTGTCCGGGCCGATCCCTGCTGCCCTCGCGACGCTGTTCAATCTTGGTACGGCGATAGATTTGACCTCGAATCGGCTATCCGGGAATATTCCCCCTTCTCTGCTGAAACAAGCGTTTCCACTTAATTTAGGTGGGAACCGCCTTTCCGGCGACCTGAGCGGACAGCAAATAAAGTCCTCAGCCTTTCGTGTAAGCGGGAACAGGCTGACTGGAAACTTCAACACGATCCGCTTCAGCAAAGACGTGTCGGTTGTCGAGGTTTCGAACAATTTGTTCTGGGGCGCATTCCCGCAGATTGTGTGCGATCGGAGCGGCGTAGCAATGAACTTTTCGCATAGTCGGCTGACAGGAGCCGTTCCAGCAAATTGTTTCAAGTCCGGGAGTTTTCCAAACGGCCTCTTTCTAAGCCACAACAATTTCTCGGGCAGCTTGCAGCCGTTTGCGAACCTGCCCGCGGACATCACTGCTCTGGACCTCGGATTCAACAAATTCACAGGGAGCATTCCCCCACGCCTCACCAGACTACCCCAGCTAAAATACTTGGACCTCGGGGCAAACGCTCTGACAGGTGAGCTGACTGGAAAAACGCTCATTGTTTTCTTCCCTTGTGATTTCTGTTGACTCCTCATCCACTCTTCTTCTCTGCTTCCGCTTCCCCATCCCTCAGGCCCAATCAGTTAAAGCCAGGATCTCAAGTAGTTCAATTGTTTTGCAGTTGGTGAGGGGAGCTGGGCTGCGATTGGTTAGCGAGGTGAACAATCTGACGAGGTGTGAAGCGAGGGGTGCGAAGTAAAGACAAATCGCAAGTTCAGTCCGAACCAAGCAAGGCTCGGAAACTGGTTCGGTGACGAAGCTCCAATGCCTGCAATTTCTCGTCACACACAACAATCTCATGTACCAGCAAAATGTTTTGCATTTGCTCTAGGGGCAAAATCGTGGGTGTGCCGCACGCTCACTTTCCTAACCAGCCAGTCAATTCGCCTACAAAAATAGGGTAACAAGCGCTGCAAGTGTTTTGCAATTGAAGGCCAATTCTCTTACTTGAGATCCTGGCTTTAACATCCTCCTTGCTATCCCCCCTCTCCGCACCCCTCAGGCCCCATCCCCCCACCCCTCAGGCCCCATCCCCGCCTTCTTTCTGCCAGCCCATTTTCCTCAACCTCGCCTCCAATGCCCTCTCCAGCCCGCCCAGCCGCCTATCTTTCCCTCCTCATCCGTTTCTCTCTTCCCCCTCTCTCCTTCTCTCCTCCCGATCCTGCACCCTTTCTGCTAGCACTCCCCCGCCTTATTTGACTCTTCGTTCCTCCCTGCTCTACCCCTGTGCTTGCTCCTACCTCCCATCCCCCACCCCTCAGGCCCCATCCCCGCCTTCTGCCAGGGCAAGCAGGCCCTCACCATCCTCAATCTCGCCTCCAACGCCCTCTCCGGCCCGCTGACACCCCTCTCCCTCTCCTGCTCCGCCTCCCTTCTGGTCCTCTACCTCTCCTCCAACCGCCTCTCCAGCCCCATCCCCGCTACAATCAGATCCTTTAGAAACCTCATGCGCCTCCGCCTCGATAACAACGCCCTGACGGGACCGATTCCTGCGGGTGTGAGAAATATGAAAAGGTTGCAGAGGCTTGGGCTGTCATATAACAGGCTGTCAGGTCCCATTCCCACGGTTTGGCCGGCAAGGCTATGGCAAGTGAAGCTGGCAGGGAATCGGCTGTCAGGGCCTGTTCCGGCTGCTCTGAGCAAGCTGAATCGAGGCTCGTTCAGACCAGGGAACCCCAACTTATGCGGGAAACCACTGCTGCGTGCTTGTGCGTAAGACCAGATCAGCGTGTACAGAGGATCACTTCTAGTTGCTTCTAGTTCTGATCAAATCTAAGGAAGACCTACCCGTGCGAAGCGGAACACTTTTTCCTGCTTGTTCCTAGTACCATTTCTATGCCTGTGATTACCTGACTTGCAAGTATTTCCATCACCCCCTGTTCAATAGCCATGCTCCAGCAAGCATCAGAGAGGCCATATTACATTGTCTTGTCTTCCAGCAAAATATTTTAGGTATATGTCGGATCATACTGGTAAGCTGTATGGGTGTATTCAGTAGACTTGGAGTCGAACAATGTCCCAACACTGACACATACCTTGGTTCTCTCCAACGAGTACAAATTGCCCACCACACGGTCAGTTTTGCTTATAAGGGCGTGTCACCTCGGGTGGTAACCAGCTGTTCGAATTTCGAATTTCTGGGGGTGGCTGTGGTACAGTACATTACACAGTTCGGTTTAGTCCGGTGTTTGTTCGAACAAGCCCCATTGAAAGTCCGAGATGACACGCCCTAATCCGAGTAACGCGGCCAAAAAAAAAAACAATAGGTGATTCTAGTAGTCGCAGTTACGGATTAGAACCAGACCCGAACGGCTGTTTCAACTTGGCGAAGTGCTTCTAACTAACTAAGCTATTGGCTGAGCACGCAAAACTTCTCTCTGATCGTCCGTAGTATCCGTTCTCGTCGCGACGTCGAGACATCTCCGCGTACGCTCGCTCTTGCTCTCAACTTCTCGCTGATTCTTCCAAGCTCGCGTCGCGAGGGACTGTTGAGACGTTTCGAAGTCGTAGAACGTCTCAAATTCACGACGGCTAGACACCTCCGC